CCCCAAAACCCCAAAACCCCAAAACCCCTCCAATTTTTAGAAATCTTGAAAAAATTGTCATCTTTCCATTTAGTTATAATTTGAGATTTTAAGTAATGAGCTCTAAGAATTCCATACAGGACATCCCTGATCTGAATATTCTAGTATCAAAGCTACCTACCCTGGCTGTCTCGGCATCCCAGGGTTTTCATGATTTACAAGAGGAAACTAGTTTTGTATGTCAGTGTTTGAAAAAGTTTCGAAAAATCGAATTTCAAAGCATTATCAAAGATGAAACATGATGAGGAAAAAATACGGGAGATTGTTTGGGATAACTGATCAGCTACTTACCATAGAGGCCAATGACCTCCAGGACTGGAGGTCCTTAGAAGCTCTGCTTAACTTCTTACAAGGCCTTGTACATAAAATGATCAAATCTGAGGAATCCAAGCCTTCTAAGTTCAGAGAAGCTCTTAAGGAAAAACATCAGAATAACGAACAACTAAATTACAGTAAGTAACACACTGAAACAGAGTTTATTATCTTTAGTGAAAAATCAAAGTGGCATCAAGGAAATCAAATATAGGCCAGGCTCAGTGCATGGCTTTGAGGAGGAGAAGTACCACAAGTGAACCATATGTTCCAAGCCTATAACCAGCAGTGATGAAGAAAGGCACAATAGTATTTTATTCAGCTGAGAGCATCTTTTTCATAAGAATTGAACTAAATTCTTTGCAAAGAAGCAATACTTGAAAAATACGAAGATTTTTTGCCCAGAATGTAAGATTGAAATACCGAATAAAACCCTTAACGGTCTCTTGGGAGAAGACTTCATTGGGAATCTAGAAACAGAGCAGCTTAAGGAATATCTGATGGGGCAAGAAGACTTTGTCAACTGCAAATGTGGAAATATGCTCCAGCTCTCCCCTGGAATAGTGGATTACAATTACAAAGATGACTCAGGTCAACTCTTATCTAGAGAAGCTGCTCAAAATATGGCGAAATATAGAGTTAGATGAAACGAATGTAATGATATATTCTGAGCAAATTGACGCACTTATCCCTACCATCTTGGCAAAACTTGTAAGGCCTTTGCAGAGTACCAAGGTGCAGAGAAATGAAGATTTTGTCTCACCAAACTCAAAACTGTCAGGAAGCAAGCTCCCATAGCTTTTAAAGCAGTCTGTAGGAACTCTGAATGTGAAGAAAATATGAGGAAGTCATGCTCTAAAATACACGACTGAGGCCACTATTGTTGAGGGACCAAGAATGAAGATCGATGACTCCCATGCATTGACCCAGAATGAGTCCAGAAGAGCCTAGAACCCACATTAGGAATTACAGGGGATGACTTCTGCAGTATATGCTATATGAGCGGGCTTTCCCAAGCCCCTAGCGTCCAGCTTGGATGTAAACATATTTTTCACGAAGAATGTCTGATCAAAGTTCTAGAAATGAAATGGAGTGGACCCAGAATCAATTTCGAGTACATAAAATGACCGACTTGCAAAACTGAGATTACTTGTAATCATCCTCATATTGGAAAGAGCTTGAAAGCTGCTATAAGCCTAAGAGCAAAAATAAATATGAAAGCTTGGAAGAGAGCCAAATATGAAGGAATCAACAGGGATGCCAGACTTCAAGCATCTCCTTATAATGGAGATTTACTCTCATATGCAATGGCTCGACTTTCTTATTATATGTGTTATAAGTGTCACAACCCTTATTTTGGAGGTCTCAAAAGCTGAGAGAATAATGATGGGCGAGGTTTGGATTATTTCAAACCAGAAGAACTCGTATGAGGTAAGTCTGTTTGACAATAGTCAGATTTGGCTAGAATCTTCTTCCACTGAAAACATCTTTAAATTACTACTGAAAGATATCTAATTTTCCTTATAGGTTCTTGATCTTCAAAATCTATCAGAGAAGGTGTAAAAACATGAAAGAAGCACGGAGCAGAATACATTGAGTTCAAGTGCAAGTTCTGCTGCTCGGTTGCTCAATGGTTCTGCTGGGGAAGTACTCATTTCTGTGATGAATGCCATACTAAGCAAATCAAAGGGGAAAACTTGACTAAAAAGAACTTGAATGAACTCCCTCAGTGTATTGGAGAAAGTTCTTGACCTCTTGGAATAAAACATCCTCCGAATGGGACTCAAGAGTATGCTCTTGGATGCACTATGTGCAAGACCTTGACTGAACATTTTGAAGGTTTCTAACTTTCTGATTTTTTCAACGGATTGATGGAAAATAGGGGTTTTGGGGTTTTGGGGTTTTGGGG